TGCGTTCTGTGTGGTCTGTGCGTTCTGTGTGGTCTGTGCGTTCTGTGTGGTCTGCGCGTTCTGTGTGGTCTGTGCGTTCTGTGTGGTCTGTGCGTTCTGTGTGGTCTGTGTGTTCTGTGTGATCTGTGCGTTCTGTGTGGTCTGTGCGTTCAGTGTGGTCCGTGCGTTCTGTGTGGTCTGGGCATTATGTGTGCACGCTGTGTGTAGTGGATGCTCTGTGTTGACGCTGTGTGTTGTGTTAGCGTTGTGGGTGTTCTGTGTGGACGTCGAATGTTGTATATTGTATTAGCGTTTTGTGTAATGAGGCAAGGATTCTTTGTTGTGCGTGTTTTCGGTGTTGAAGTTGCTCGTATAGAACGAGTTTTTCACTCCCTGTTTGTTTTGAATAGCTCTAAATAATCTCCATCACAATAGCCTGAAGTTATTGTCGATATTTATTCGATGAAATTAAAAATTCAAAAATATTGAGGAAGGTAATTATATAACAATTAGGTTTATATAACAATTATTATATAAATATTATTAATATATATAACAATTATGTACAACATCACAAAAGCTCCTAATGATATCAGCAACAAACTGGACCAAATGATGACTCATTTCTTCCTCGCTGACAAACATACATCGCCTGCTTCTACGTAAAGTGGACGTAGTGCGTGTAAATGAATTTAATAAATGCAATCACATGCTACCAGACACTACGTATCATAATCCTGCAAAGCAACGAACCCTGCCTGTCCCCTAACTGCAGTTCTAACTCGCTACCTTTAACTCTAACTCCAATTCCTAAATCCAACCCCATATCCTAACTCCTTACCCCATTTCCAGCCCTAACTCCCAACCCCAACTCCAGCCCTAACTCCTAACTCCAACCCCATACCTAACCTTAACTCCAATCCTAATTCGAGCCCTAACTCCTAACCTCAACCTCAGCCCTATCTCCTAACCTCAACCCCATCTCCAACTCCTTACCCCATTCCTAATCTCAACTTCTAAACCTAGCCCTTAGCCCCAGCCCTAAAACAAACCCCTTCCTAACCCTAACCCCCGTGCGCAGCAATCGCTGTGCTCAGAGATGGGCGAGGAGCTGTGCTTCGCTGTGCGCTGCCGCGGGTCGCGGCGCCGTCCTGCCCTGCGTCGCCAGTGCGACCAATGCCTGGCCGGCGCCTGCATGGCCTCCCCTCCACCTCTGCCCCTCCCCCTCCCTCTGCCCTTCAACGGGGTATGTGCATAGCGTAAAAATATTGCATTTGGAAATATTCAGACTTAAAGAGGAAAATTTTTTGAGTAATATATTTATTTCAAAATATATCATTTGCAAATATTCAGACTTTAAAAGAATTTTTTCTGAGTAATATATATATTTCAAAATATTTAATATGAAAATATTCAGACTTAAAAAGGAAGTTTTTTTGATTAATATATATATTCAAAAATATGTGTCAAGTGAAAATATTCAGGCTCTAAAGGAAATTTTTTGAGTAATATATATATTTCAAAATATATCACTTGAAAATATTCAGACTTTAATAGGAAGTGTTCACGGAGAAATTGTATTTAATTTAAAAGGTAGTTTTCATGGAGTTTTTATTTCCATGAAGAAATTATATTTTCAGAAAAAAAATTAGCCTGGCAGTGACAGTGGCGGTGGGAAACTGGGGTCAAGGTTAGGCTTGTACGAGATATAAAACGATTACTATGAGCGGTCAAATTTCTGTTTTTTACAAGGAGAGTGGGGTTAGCACGGGGGGGAATAGAAGGACAGAGGGTGGGGTTAGCGAGGGGGGAATAGAAGGACAGAGGGTGGGGTTAGCGAGGGGGGAATAGAAGGACAGAGGGTGGGGTTAGCGGGGGGGAATAGAAGGACAGAGGGTGTGGTTAGTCTCCTTTAATTACCACCCCAATATCCCCGGTATCCACGACATATCCACAGGAGCCTTGTCCCCTGGACATCGTCAGGAGATCGTCCCTGATGAGCCAGCGTCTGCAGCACAGCCTCTACGAGGCAGACCATCCCGGGCTACGGTAGACCTGCCGACACAATAGTCTATATCTCATTAATATCATAAGTATACCATTAATTTGTACGGAATTATATGGATAGATTCAATATTTGTATTTATCTCAGTAATGTTCGCTCCTATTTAGTTTTGCAAATAAAAGGAACAAATTTTTCAAAGCTCGAAGTCGTTATGGCATTCGGCATTGTGGAGACATTTAGCCCCATTTAATTACCTTCTGTACCTTTAACTGTCAAGTCCCATTGCCCACCTCAACACAGTCTCTGTATTACCTTTGCGTTAATACCTACGAATTTATTCATTCAATTCAGGAAATTCTTTACCGTTTATTAGGAAAGAATAGAAAGAAAATGTTCAACTTACCTCCGGACATGTTAATTATAACGGCATATCTAATGGCGTTAGTGCCATGGGCTAATAGTGTCATGGGCTACTAGTGTCATGGGCTACTAGTGTCATGGGCTACTAGTGTCATGGGCTACTAGTGCCATGGGCTACTAGTGTCATGGGCTACTAGTGTCACGGGCTACTAGTGTCATGGGCTACTAGTGTCATGGGCTACTAGTATCCTGAGCTACTAGTGTCATGAACTACTAGTGTCATGAGCTGCAAGTGTCATGCGCTACTAGTGTCATGGGCTACTAGTGTCATGGACTACTAGTGTCATGGGCTACTAGTGTCATGAGCTACTAGTGTCATGGGCTACTAGTGTCATGGGCTACTAGTGCCATGGGCTACTAGTGTCATGGGCTACTAGTGTCACGGGCTACTAGTGTCATGAGCTACTAGTGTCATGGGCTACTAGTTTCTAGTGTCGTCCATATATTAAACAATCAATGGACAAGCTTTAAGAGTCTCATTTTATTTTAAAGTAATTGTACATATTAAACGAAAATTTTATTCGTACTGATCTCACTCCAGTCATTAAATATTCACGCCGCTCTACACGTTCTGATTTCCGTCAATTGTATTTTAAAACATATAATGTCCTTTAAACAGTGTTCACTGACTGGGCAATTCCGGCATAATGTTTAGATGATATGATAATAATATAATGTGCATGGTATGTAATATAAATTGTATATAATATGAACGGTATAATATATGAATTTAGTATCGCTCCTATAGAGTTGCTAATCTTAGCATTGTACTTATATTTCTGTTCTAATTTGAACTTGTTATAGTAAATAAAACTCATGTTAAGGTAATTTTTACGTAATGCATCACATTCATGCAACTAATGGTTGAACGCGATCATAATCTATAAGACTTGAACCAGCAATGTCGCTCTCGGAGACCAGTTCCTGTTAACACCACTTTTGTGATAATAAAATATCTGTGAATTAGAGCAGCGTGAGGGTCTGTACAATGATAGTGAGCTTTAGTTGATACAGTTGTAAATATTGTTGACCTGCCTTGTTAATGAACGTATCGAGAAGAAACTTGTTTGTGAGACCGAGTCACGCTGTCTCACCACATGTATGTTTGTGAGACTGAGTCACGCTGTCTCACTAACTTGTATGTTGTGAGACCGAGTCACGCTGTCTCACTAACTTGTGTGTTTGTGAGAGAGTCACGCTGTCTCACTAACTTGTGTGTTTGTGAGACCGAGTCACGCTGTTTCACTAACTTGTATGTTGGTGAGACCGAGTCACGCTGTCTCACCATTTGCATATTTGTGAGACCGAGTCACGCTGTCTCACTAACTTGTGTGTTTGTGAGACTGAGACGCGTTTGCAATTTAATAAACTTCGTCGCAGTCACCGGGCACTGTGGCAACACCGTAGCTTGGTTCCTGTGAAAACATTTCTCATTTTAAATACAAACTTTGGAAAAGTCTTCGCGTTTCATTCGCATTTATTTGATTTGCGATCGTGTTTTTCCGCAAAAACTTGCGCTAGTCTAGAAATTTTTAGGCGGTTGTGTCTGCCATGCTGTCACTCCATGTCTGTCATGCTGACAATCCATGTCTGCCATGCTGACACTCCATGTCTGCCATGCTGACACTCCATGTCTGCCATGCTGACACTCCATGTCTGCCATGCTGACACTCCATGCATGCCATGCTGACACTCCATGTCTGCCATGCTGATACTCCATGTCTGTCATGCTGACTCTCAATTTTTTACATCACCAGGCACTGTATAAAAATGTATAAAAGGTCCATCGTCGTCAGAGGCGCTGATGCTCTGCGACTGTGCCCGTAATTTGTCAAGTGTAAGCGGTCGCAGCTTCAAACTTTTGGCCGGCGTATCAGCGGCCACATTAGAACATGAATCGCCCGGACCACATTTCCAATAGGGTATCATGGTAAATAATTTGCCAGCTTTTCAGCAGTTCCGCATTTTTTTGCACTGGGAATTGCGTAGATACGCAGCGCCAGCGCGTTAATGCTTCACAAGCTCGTCCTGAGCTCTATGCTAATTATGGCGAGGCTTTTCATCCTGCGCCTCAAAGGATGATTTGAACTCTAACCGCATTACGACATTGCAACTTCATTCGTATTGCAATAAAATATTTTACGTCTGGCATAAATTAGTTTGATTTGCAGCGCTACTACCGCGAATGTAATCATATAACTACCCGTTATACTCAAATTTATCATGTAGTGCATTTTATTTACCTCAAAACGGATTACAATATACTCCAAATTTCTTATTTTGGGATTAGAAAATTTATTTTGTGAAAAATAATTTAGAATTTTTTTTTTCTAATTTCAAATTTTGCACACGAACTTCAGGAGAAAATGGTCGTTCTTGCCAGAGAAAGCAGCATCAGGTTCACTACCAATGAAACTTACCATCACTCACACCCTGCAGCTATTTTACTTTCAGTGCAAAACAAAGCAATTAGTTTCATATCAAAGAGCACAATGGCTTCCATGAGTCACACGTGGTAGAGCTTGCAACAAGCCAATGAAGACAAAAAGACATAGACATGGCATAGACATCAATACTAGACGATGACTTAGACATGGCATAGACAATAATTATTAGACATCAATACGAAACGATATCATAGACATGGCATAGACATCAATACGAAACGATGTCATAGACATGGCATAGACATCAATACGAAACGATGATATAGACATGGCATAGACATCAGTACGAGACGATGCCATAGATCTATGGCATAGACATCAATACGAGACGATGCCATAGGCATGGCATAGACACCAATACGAGACGATGAAATAGACATGGCATAGACATCAGTACGAGACGATGCCATAGATCTATGGCATAGACATCAATACGAGACGATGACATAGACATGGCATGGACATCAATACGAAACGATGATATAGACATGGCATAGACACCAATATGAGACGAAGACATAGACATCAAGACGACAAGATGACATAGACATCATCTCTTCAAACATGTCTCCCTCCTGAGCAAGTGAGAACCATTCTTCCTCTTCATTTGACAGAGCGTCGAGACCAGCCAAACTAATTCGCTTAATGGCCAACTTCCTGAGAAGTTTGTGAAGGAGCCAATGGTGCAAGAGCCGTTGCGACGTGAGCCGCTACTCGTAAAAACACGCGACGCTCGTATGGACTCTTTGTTTCACTCATTTAAAACAATGGATCATATTGTGGCCATTTAGTGACACGCTCTCTGCGCGCAGTACTGACACGCCCCTATACCTGCCAATCTGGGTCAGGATGACCCATACAAAAAGCAAAAGGTGCATCGGTATTTTGACAAAGTCTCACTTAATTTTTCTTAGTGCTTGCTTCGCCCGGAAAAGTTTGTCGGTAATTCCGGCGGAGACAGCGAGGACATTTCCCGGACACGGAGCCATGGCTGTAAAATTGCGGACGCAACACGGGTTTCATTTCGCGGCACTTCTAGAGTTTAGGAGATCTGCTCTTCACGGGAATTTTTGCCAGAATTTAAAGACGTAAATATTTTGATAGTAGAATGGGTGAATTTCGGTGGATAACAAAATGTAAGGCTAAATAAAACACAATATTCATATATCAAAGTTAGCCTTGGTCTGGCGTGGTTACCAAATCGAGTATTGGGGATACCACCTGGCTGGAATGATTACTAAAAGATTTGCTGAGTAATTAAATGGTATTTCAATGAATGGATATTTTATTGATAACAAGGCAGTTGAGAGGGAAACTCGCGAAGTTTCCAAGCGTTTTATGGATTCTGAACAGCGAAGTCCATGCCCGAGTCATGATCATACATTTAGTGAACACTTGCAGCCTGCAGGGACATTTACTGGACACTTGGAGCCCACAGGGACTTTTACTGGACACTTGGAGCTTGCAGGGACTTTTACTGGACACTTGGAGCCCACAGGGACTTTTACTGGACACTTGGAGCCCGCAAGGACATTCTCTGGATACTTGCAGCCTGCAGGGACATTCACTGGACACTTGGAGCCTGCAAGGACATTCATTGGACACTTGGAGCCTGCAGGGACATTCACTGGACACTTGGAGCTTGCAGGGACATTCACTGGACACTTGGAGCCTGCAGGGACATTTACTGAACGCTTGGAATCTGCATGGACATTTACTGGACATTTGAAGCCTGCAGGGACATTCACTGGAAACTTGGAGCCTGCATGGACATTTACTGGACACATGGAGCCTGCAGGAACAAGCAATGAATATTTGGAGCCGTCCAGGTACTGAACTGTACTGTTTGTATACTGCCCACAATAAATTATAGACCTTATAAGGCCCCCTTAAATTTCAAAGTTCATCGTCCAGCCGACTGCCCTCTGGACAGCTCGGCCCCCCCTCTTGACAAGCCCATACAGCAGGCCCGCTGGCCGGGGCCTCTCTTTTTAAGCTTAATTAGCTGACCAGCCCGGGCTCCTCTTTAGAAGCCCATAAAGCTGTCCAGCCGGGGCCCTCTTTACGAGCTCATAAGGCCGGCAGCCCGGTCTACTCTCGATAAGCCCGTAAAGCTGGCCAGCCCGCGCCCCTCTTCACAAGCCCACACAGCTGAGCAGCCCGGGCCCTTCTTCACAAGCCCATAAAGCTGGCCAGCCCGGGCCCTTCTTCACAAGCCCACAAAACTGGCCAACCCGGGCCCTTCTTCACAAGCCCATAAAGCTGGCCAGCCCAGGCTCTTCTTCACAAGCCCATAAAGCTGGCTAGCCCGGGCCACTTGACAAGCCCATAAAGCTGGCCTGCCCGGTCCCCTCTTCACAAGCCCATAAAGCTGGCCAGCCCGGGCCACTTGACAAGCCCATAAAGCTTGTGGGCGCCAGTGGGGCAGGATCAGGGGGCGGAGAGGGGCCGCTCCCCGTTGGCTCAAAAAACGCAGGCAGCAGAGAAAAAATTCGCCATGAACTCGCAGCTGCGCCGTGAAATAGCAAGACTCAGGCTCCAGGATGTTAATTCCTGGTTCATGAGATTCTGAACAATTGCTATTACTTGGATTTATTTATGTTCGTTCATTTTTTTATAGCGGTTTCAGCGCTTATTAGGCCGTAGGCCTGTCGCCGGTTCCTACATCACAGAACATTCACAGTATTTCGCGGTCTCGAACTCGCAACTCACTGCTACAATAATCTGCTGTGCTTAACCGCCCGGCCTCCTCGCCGATTCTGACCAGAAACTGGCGCACA